GTTGATAAAAAATAATTTAAATTTAAAATTTAAATGAAAAAAATTAGAAATGACATATTAATACCTTAAATAAATTAAATATTTACTAAATCAAAATACAAAAATTGAAAAATATTTCCACATAAGTATTTTTTTTAACATAAACATTTTAAATATATAAATGTATAACCAATATTAAAAAGTATAAAAATTATAAATTAAATGTGAAAAAAATTTAAATTTTTCAAAAATATGTCTAATTAATAAAAAATATTCATAAATTAAATGTGAAAAAAATTTAAATTTTTCAAAAATATGTCTAATTAATAAAAAAATATTCGATTATATTAAATGCAATTCAATTCAATTCCCTAAACATTCGATTTAGTAGAATACTTTTTGTATCAACTCATGTTTATTCATCATATTTGTGTTACATATATAAAAAAAATATGCACAATGAAATAAAAGAATTTAAACAAAAAATAGAAAATGACATTTATCATTCTGTGAAAAAATAAAAATAAAAATTAGTCACTATAACAATACGATTTTTAATTTAATATATAAGAAATAAATTAAGCTTTTATTCTTTTGACGTAAGAGTAAAAAAAACACAATTTCTTATATTGTAAATGAAAACTAGAAATTATTACTTGTTGAATGTGCACATCCTTCTATGCATTTTTCCACTACTTTCTGTAAGGAAAATTATTAAACCTATTAATAAAATTAATTATTACGTTTATTGGGTGAAAATTTATTTAACATTTAAAATTATAATTTTTTAAATTTGAATTTTGAATTTGATAAGTGAAAAAAGAGATCAGCATTTAATGTTTCTATAATGGGAAAAAGATATATATATATATATATATATATATATATATATATGAAATTTGAATTTTAATATAAAATTATAGATTAAAGAAAAAATATAAAGATGCTGATAGTTAAAGGTTGCATACTGAGCTTGGCACAGAGGGTCTGCCTGCCCCGCCCGCAACACGTTTTTATAATTAAATTAAAATTTTATTATTCTTTTTTTATAATTAAATTCCTAATTCAGATTTCAATTTTTGTAAATACAAATTTATAAAATTCCAAATAATAACGACACAAATCCTTGCAAGAAATAATTATTTATTATTATTTTGTAAATATAATTGTAATAAATGAAAATTCATCTCTCAGATAAAATATAAAAATCTAGACGCAACTATAAAAGCATTTTTTTGTGGATAAATATGAAAACCTATTACAATTCCTAATAGTTAGAGGTGGCAAACTAGGCTCCGGGTCGGCCCATCAACACATTTTTATAATTAAATTAAATTTCATCCTTCTTCTTTTATAATTAAATTCCTAAATCTTATTTTATTTTTGTAAATACAACTTTGTAAAATTTCAAATACAAACGACGCAAATCCTTGCAACAAATAATTATTTATTATTATTTTTTAAATATGATTGTAATAAATGCAAGTCCATCTCTGAGATAAAATATAAAAACCTAAATGTGACGATAAGAACCCTTTTTTGTGGATAAATATAAAAATCTATTGCATGCTGATAGTTAAAGGTGACAAACTGGGCTCGGCCCGAAGGGCCGACCCACCATCATTTTTTTATAATTAAATTAAAATTTCATCATTCTTCTTTTATAATTAATTCCTAAATATGATTTTAATTTTTGTAAATACAAATTTGTAAAATTCAAAATACTAATGACATAAATACTTTCAAAAAAATAATTATTTACATAAAATGCTGTTAGTTAAATTTTGTAAACTGGGCTTGGCCCAGAGGGCCCGCCTGCCAACACGTTTTAATAATTAAATTAAAATTTCACTATTCTTCTTTTATAATTAAATTCCTAATTCAAATTTCAATTTGTGTAAATACTAATTTATAAAATTTCAAATACTAACGACACAAATCCCTGCAAAAAAAAACTATTTATTGTTATTTTGTTAATCTAATTGTAATAAATGAAAGTTCATCTCTGAGATAAAATATAAAAACCTAGACGCAATTATAAGAATTTTTTTTGATGATAAATATAAAAACCTATTACATGCTAATAGTTAGAGGTGGCAAACTGGGCTCGGCTTGGAGGGCCGGCCCACCAACATATTTTTATAATTAAATTAAAATTTTACTATTCTTTTTTTATAATTAAAATTTCACTATTCTTTTTTTCCCGTGCATCGCACGGGTTATACTTAACTTTGAAGGAGTTTTTTATGTAGGGTGTTGGTTTTGAATATTATTCAATAAAACTTAACGTTCTTAATGAAAAATCCATGTTATTTAAGGTCAACGTAAAAAAAAAACAATTTGGAGTCATATAATGAGCCAAAATATCATGTTTCAAGTGTTTGAAGCAACGAAGCTATTGTCACCTCATTCTTTAAGTCTTTGGTGGACCCGAATGTATGTTGTTGTTTTTTAAAAATTTATCATCGTGTTGTTCTTTATATTCAATAAAACTTAACGTTCTGTATATTGATTTGATGCTGTTTAGACACATTTGTTCCAGTGTAAGCAAAATTTTTGACTCATACATGACCATTTGATTAATTTGCTTTCAAATCCCTTTCAAACAACGTTTTTTGGGTTCTAAAAAAAAATAACCCATTTTTTTTTTAGACTATTACTTCTGGGTGTTAACATATTAGCGTAATTTATTTAATGAGCATTTGCATTTTGTATCGTAGGCATAAATATGATGGTAGAAGAGGACGTTCCTGGTAATGCATTAACATAGAAAATCACATGTTTAGTATGTATTGAACTCATCCCTCCAATGATTGCTACAGAATGATACTGAATTAATAGCGTTTTCTTATTATAGGTACATGCTGATCTTTTTATTCCATATTTGCTTAGTCTGTTTGTTACCTTGATTTTATTAGTGGTTGTTATAGTTAGCAATAAGTTGTATGCATTTTTTCTCTTTTTAGCCATCCTCATTTTAACATAGTCAACTATGGCATATTTATTTTTTCCATATCTCATCGAGTAGATAACTATATTTATTTGCATAATATTGATCACTGTGGATAACAATTTTTTGTTTATGATTGATATTTGTAAAATTTGTGTCAATGCTGTAGTTTTTTCCACATGAAATATAAAACAAGATAGCAACACGGATTTTTGTAAGTATAAGGTTTGCAGTGCGATTAACCAACCACGGCGGACGACAAATATTTTCTTCATATCTACTTGATTTCCGTTCCATTCAAAGTTCAAACAATTTCTCTGTCTCTTCTCCTTCTTCCTTAGTCACCGCCATATCAATTCAATTCCCGATCCAACATTATTCAATCGAAACTCAGCCTCTTCAATTCAATCGAAAGGGATTATTCGCGTTGTAAATTACGTATATTTTTTTACAATCTATATTAATGAAAAGGAGGAGACACTAGGGTAAAAGGCAGAATGAATATGAAAAGGGAATCAATTCAATTCAATCGAAACTCATTAATATGAATAGGGATTCAATTCAATTGAAACTTTTCTCTGTCTTGGTCGATAAAGATAGAGAGAAGGAGGAGGATAGAGAACGGGTAAGACTCAGGAAGAAGAATGAAAAGAGTAAAAAGATTTATTTTATATTACAAATCTCCACCGTTGGATGAGATTATAATCTAATGGTGTTGAAAGAGGTAGACAAAATAAGAGTAGATATAATAACCTATCCCTAAATATGGCATAATCATTCTTGCAGCTGCTGTATGTACAATAACAGTTATAAAAGCTAAGATCCGCATGCAGATCATCTGCATAAATAACAACCCCTATATATATATATATGAGATTCATATTTTCTTTTTCTCTCTCTACTCTTCCCATAGCCTCACATTAACTCCGCACACTTTTATGCGTGTAAAAAATAATTTTATCTCTTACAACGTTAGAGACATTCAACCTATATATGTTTGCACTTTTGGAGTTCAAACTAATTTTTATATATATATAGAGGTAGGATCCTTTGACACCAGTGTCAAATTTTAAATTTGACACCTCGTCTGATAGCCGTTAGATCAAAAAAGATCAATGGTGTCACATGCTTGCAAATCAGAGTCATTGCTCTTTTTCGATCTAACGGCTATCAGACTAGGTATCAAATTTGAAATTTGACACTGATGTCAAAGGATTCTACCTCATATATATTGACATCAAATCTTAACTGTTGAATACCATCAATCTATCGGTTATAATTTATTGAGAATTAATAATTAATTAATAAATGTGAGCCAATAAATTATAATCGTTAGATTGACGGAAATCAACAGTTAAAATTTGATGTTAAACTTTTTAATTTGACACCGATGTCAAAGAATCCTGCCTATATATATATATATATATATATATATATATATATATATATTCTTATATTGTATTATCTCCTATGCACATATAAAAATATGTGGAGCTTATTATTATTATTTTTCTATCTTTTCCTCACATGGTTTATTTTTTCTCTCTGTGTTTCTCTTATAACATGATAAACAATAATCACACACACACATATGGCATAATCATTCCTGCAACTGTTGTATGTACAATAACAGTTATAAAAGCCAAGATCTGCATGCAGATCCTAGGTTTTTTTTAAATCGCGTGGGGCCCACACTTTTTGTGTTAGCTGCAAAAACTGCTTTCTACAGCAATTGCATAAATAACAACCCATATATATATATATATATATATATATATGAAATTCATATTTTCTTTTTCTCTCTCTACTCTTCCCATAGCCTCACATTAACTTCGCGCACTTTTATATATGTGTAAAAAATAATTTTATCTCTTATAACATTAGAGACATTCAACCCATATGTTTTCACTTTTGGAGTTCAAACTAATTTAGAAAAAATATGACAAAAAGGTCCTTTCAATAAATAAAATTTCTTGTGTACTTTGTCCTTTAATACCTTTTTTGAAATAGAAAAGGGCAAATCCCAATCCACAAAGGTTTCATTATCTTTGTATCGCAAAGGCAACCTAGACACTTGCTCCAAGGCTTCTTTTTTGAAATAAAAATAAAAAAACACACCAAGATTTTCGCAAACACTACCTGATATTAAAATAGTTCGAAACCAAATTTCAGACAAACTATAAATATTTTCAAACTAAACCAAATACATAGAGATTCACAGAACCAGTTGATGAATTCAAACAACTCTGAACTAGTTTACTAATTCCCCCTTCTTCTCCCGGAGCCTTTCTTTATGCAAATCCATTGAATACACAGTTTACCACTCAAATGTGAAAGTTGAGAAATAAACTTCTGATCCATTTCCCTTCCACTCCCATCCCAGCTAAAAGAAAGCTCAATGTCTTGTGCTGATAAGCACACTGAACTGTTTACACCATACTCATGTAAACAAACCAAAGTTGGCAGCAATAATTGGCCTTCTCAAAGCTAGCAGGCCATCAACTATCAACATCATCTTGAATTTTTTTAATTTCCCAACAAAACAAAGGCCCCCTCAACTGCGAAATGGTGGTTGATTTTCAAAAGGCAGCTCTATTTGTGTTGCATTACCATAAAATTCTTCCAAATTGTAGAAAGCTCTCTGTGGGGGAAGAAAGATGTGGACAACAACATCACCTGTGATCAAGAAACAATCACAAGGATAACCTGGATCAGAAAGTATTTAAAAAAAGGCTACCATACATTATGAATATCAAATCCTAAGGCTTTTGGAATTTGAATCAATATTTGTTGAATGGTTTAAAAGGATTTGGTTGGAGCAAACAGGGCAGAATCTTGTTGATTTGCTGGGGTATCTTTGATACATCTTCTAGAAGTCCAACGTGCAACCTCAAGGGATTTCTTTGGTAAAAGAATTAAAGGGCTTTATTGTATTGTTGCAAATATACAAGGATAAAGCCGTATGCATGATTGTCCTAACCCCTGCCCTTGCTAGTCGGGGTTCAATAGGGAGAGATTTTTATTGTATTGATTGCGAACTTGGTGATGTTCTATAGTAAATAAAGGACAAGTATCCATTTGAGTCAACTTAGGTGGAAGTGCACATAGCACCTGTTTCAAGGGAGACTGGAATATGATGGCACCTAAAACTTTAGTCTTCAGTTAAGTGATAAAAGAAATTCTATCATGCTATTATTATGGCATAAAATCACTTACCAAAATCCAACAGGGTCCATGAGTTGGGTTTTGAGTCTCCGGTTGGAAATTTTCCATATTTCTTCTCAGCTAAATCTCTAATTCTGGACCTAAAATACAACATAAAAATAAATATATCCTGCTTTTAGCACAGAAAAGAAAAATCCTCAAGCATTGCCAGCTAAATATAGAAATATCAATTACGAAGATCTTACCCAATAGCATCAATCTGGGGACGAGAAAATGCGGTAGCTATGATAAAAAATCGAGTCCAGTAAACTATTGGCTTCACAAACAAGACCCTTATATCTGCTGCTTTAACATCACTTGCAACCTTGGCCATTTCCACAGCAACTACATACACGGCAGTTAACAATTAGATGGTACTTGATACATAGAAATATAATTCTTTCTCTATCTAGAGCAGATTCATATAAACAGAAAGTAACTGAACAAAATTTTCTCACTGTTGAACATGCAAAGTATAAAGAACAATATTTTAGAGACAACAAGGGATTAATCGAGATATTATGTTTCTATTAAGAGGAAAATAACAAAATCTAACAGAGGAAGGATTAGATGGTACTGAATCTACAGGTAATAGAGAAATTAAATAAACAAAAAACAAGAATCAATGATTCAGCATCGCGACTGAGAAGACTGATAGAACTGGACCAGAATATAAAAAGAAAAATAGTGTTTATTGACTGGAAATCTCAATCTCTGGAGCTGCATCAACGGAATACAAGACCAGACATGCAAGAGTGAAGATAGAAAGATAGTGCAGAAGCACTAATCCTGTTGTTCCAGATATTCGAGAGACCTGGGCTCTCCTCTAACTACCTCTCTCAATCAATTCCCAACTATCCTAACTGATTCCCCCACTCCCCTTGTATTTCTATTTACCCAGTAACTCCTAAGTTTCTGTTGAGCAGACTTGCAAGAGGTCCTAACAAAACTCCCCTCAAACCTTGTCCTCGAGGAGAAATTTAGCAGCCTATCCTATCCCAGCAGCCCAAACACCTCCTCTTTGTGCCAAATTTAACATTATTGCAAATTTTTTGTTTTGACACACATGATCAGGACTATATCTCTTATCACACTTAAAACACAACCCCTTCTTTATCTTCTCCTGCAAGTCTTGCAGAATCCATCACTGAGCCTCCTGCTTGTGGGTTAGCCAGCGCAGGTAGCCAAGTGTCAGCTTTATATGTTGCTGATTTGGACGACAGTAACTTCAGTACATAGTCACTCCTTCACTGCCCAAAAATTCCCATTCTTTAAACTCGCAAAGAACTCACATATAGCTCAAAATGTTCCTGGTATTCCTCTATTGTGGTTGTCTGCTTCAGCCCTAACAATAACTCATAAGGGTTCTGCATCATCGTGGCATGAAACCTCCAAATCGTTGCCTCTTTGAACTCTGTCCATGACGATTTTGGGCATAGAATTGCCACCACTCAAACCATGATAGGACTCGACCTTCCATGGCTACCATTGTAGCTTATAACCCCTCCTCTACCAAAACCCCCTTCAACTGAAAGTAGTGCTCCACCCAATTGACCTATACATAATCCTCTCCAAAGAACAGAAGAATGTCAAGCTTCTTCCACCGCTTCTAAGTCCAATCTTGACCATAGTCTTTGCCTGCTACCTAGCCTGGATCATTCTTCATGTCCAGTCCCTGTGGCGTTACTTCCTCTGGAGAAATTCGTCAAGTTCCTCTCCCTTGAGAAGGTTCAAATCAGCCCTTCGAATAAGTCCTCAAGCATCTAGGAGTTACATTATTAAACAATCATCTCACCTAAAAGCTCGAGCTACTAAGGGCTATGTTAATGGTTTTATATTAGACTTCTCTAACACACCCTCTTGCTCAAGAACACATGGGACTTGAAAGGTAGATAATGCACAGGCCCACCTTCTCTAACACACCAAAAAGCTTAAGTTGTTAGGCGAAGGTCACATTAATGGTTTTATATTATATATTTCTTTGACACGCCCCCCCCACACAATATCAACCTGGACACGAAACACCATATCCAAATACTCAGTTCACACAAGTCAATCAACCGTTGACTCTAATACCATATCAAGCAACTATCTCAACTAAAAGCTCAAGCTATTAAGGAAGGGTCACGTTAATATATTAGACTTTTCTAACATACATGTTAGGTGAAGGATGCATGCAGATGCAGCAGTAGATCCATTAAAGAATTCTCAAGGAAACTAGCAAGACTTGACATTGAATTGCCACATATTGGGTGACATTTAACCTCACAAATTTTGAATAGGCTTGTGTAGTTGATAATCAGATAGTATGCCGCTGTTCAGCCGCATTAGATTAACAGCGAAGGTAACATTCTGTTGAGCCACAGTAAGCTCAATGTTCAGTTTATTTTGTTTTAATATTTTGTTATGATGTCTGAAAATTCCCCTTAATTGTTTTCTCCAGCACAACCTTTACAGGGGATACCTACTGATTTCACAAGCTTTGCTTAAAAGAGATTTTGACTCAATTGAAATTTAAAAATTTACAATCAATTTCACCAAGAATTTCCAGCAACTCTATTCTTTTTATAAAGTTTTCCATCAATTGAGCTCTAGGTCCAGTACTCAGGTATAGGCAACCTACATGTGAAGTGTACATAATTTATGTTCTTTTTCTTTTTCTTTTTTTGGTAACAATTTATGTTCTTTTTCTTTATTTTAGTCTAAATGAGTAATCAATCTCCAGCTTTTCCATCATATCTTACACATTCAGTCAGCTTCTGATAATCATATAAGTCTAAGCTGAACCTCAAATTTCTTGCTCCTACACCACTTAAACCTTAGGTGGCAATTCAAGGATGCTTCATATTTTGGTTTAAGACCAAATCCAAGTACAAAAGCTGAGCTTCAAGCTTGTCTCTCTTTCTCTCTCTCTTTTCTTTTCTTTTTTTTTTTTGGATAAAATTTCAAGCTTGTTTCATTTACATACAATCAAAATTCAATCCTGGCTAGAAAAGTTCAATATTTGCTATATAGTTTAAAACAGGAAAAATAAACCGGCATATATTACCTGTGCTCACATATTAATATAATATTTATAGAAGGAAGAGCTACTTACTCAACACTGAAGCCAGAATTGCACAGAACTGCACACATGGCTCAATCTATACTTAACAGGAATATGTTGGAGTGGGGACATCTAAACTCAGACGGAGGCATGTGTGAAGTTGTGACTGCAACAGTTAGTAAGTAGCATGACTCGTTTACAAACACACATGATAACAGTTATATTTATCAGTTACAAAACCATATCAATAAAAATCTTTGAAGATATGCAATACAAATTAAAAATATCTAAAAAGTCTATGAGTCCGGTTACAAAGCTGGAGCTTAGCTTGTTTATATAAATAAGGCTCCAATCCCCTACCTAAATTGCAGCCAGGTCAGGCTATTCATGTGCATCCACTTCCCTTTACAGCCCCACAGCAGCATATAGTATTCCCTATTTTCCTTCTGCATGAATTTGCTTAACCAGTATTCTCTATTTATGTGACAAAACTACTAGACAACTAAACAAGACCATATTCTAGCAGAATCTTCATGCTTTTCAGCATGCATAATCTCCTTAACCCATATTAATAAAAAAATAATTAAAAAAACCTACTTATAAACTATAGAAATGTATAGTCTTTCAATACTTTACATCTTACCAATGTCTGCCAGAGGCCTATAAAACTGTTGCTTAAAAAAGATGTATTAGTGTTTGTTCTTAAAAAAATTACCCTGTAGACAGTTCCAGGAGAAATTTACTGCTGACCAAGATTAGAGGTTTATAAGAAGTAGCATTTGCTAGAAGCACCACATGAAAGCTTCAAGCAGTTAATCTTTTTACAACAACAACCACAAAAGCCGTTTCCCACTAGGGGGTTCAGCTACATAAATCAAGCGACGCCATTTTGTTCTGTTCAAAACCGAATTCTTTAGAGAGGTCATTTAATTCTAAATTCCTTTACAAGAATCTCGTGAAATTTACAGTCCTTCAGATTCTTCTAAAATTTAAGAAGAAACCTGATATAAGCCATAAAATGTTAAAAAAGACAGTTTGTGCAAGAAATGTAAACAAGGTGGAAGCAAATTCTTTAACAAAACTGCTTTTCAGCTTACATGATAGGCTTTCGGCATCATCATCAACCTCTGCACTAGCAGGCTTTCGGTCTTTTCTACTAAATACCACTTTTCCATATTTGTTAAATAATTCATCATACATATCATCAGTTTCTTCACTTATATCCTGCGAAGTACATGGTTTATGTTACTTATGTACCCTTAGAGGATCATGAATCACAATTCACAAGAAAAAAATTATAGAAGTCTCTGAATTTATTTAGAAAAGTAGCCAGTTGAAATTTGATGCAAGTATGAACCATTGTGATTATAAATTAATTCAACACAAATGAATAACATGAGCAAAACAATCACATAAAAGGCACTGATTCCATATTCTCAATTTTCGTAGTTAACATACAGGTATGAACATAATGTACATTATCTTCAAGACCAGAATATATAATGATGAAAATATTGTCTCTAATAGACAGCATTGCCCAAAGTAAAAGAGAATGATGACAAAAGAATGAAATTCCTAGATATTCACCTTAACCTTGTGTTTGGATGACAGTTATTGAGGGGAAGAGGAAAAAGTTCCTTGTTTGGGAGTTTAAAAATGGATAGGAAGAGAAAGGAAGTCATGGTGATCTATTCCCTCTCTTTTTCCATCAAAGACACAATTTTTGTTCCCTCAAAAATCAGGGTGGAATGGTGGAACTAAACTAGTTAAAGTTAAAACTTAAAGTCCAGTCTCGAGTTCGAGCACAAAATGGTATTGGGAGAGTCATCTCCTATATGGGTTAGACAGTGCTCGAACCGAACTCCTAAATAATAAGGTATAAACCTTAAAATTGTAATTAGATATGTACACCTAAGCAGAAAACCTTAAAAATCTCATTCTATATCCACACATACATGATAAAATATGAATGTATGATAATGGACTTTACCAAAGAAGAGCAGCTATATAGGAAAGGAAAAGGAAAAAGAAAAAAAAAAGCGGGGTCCTCAAGATTTTCTAAATTGCATTAATCAACATAGTTTATGAAAGTATGCTATCAATACTTCACTTTCCATGGAACCCAAAATCTAAACTGAACCCCACAATATTTCATTTTTTAACTAAAAAAAAAAAGGGTATTGCAATGTTATCCAAATTGTCTCAGTTGTAATAATATTATTTCCTCAACATTTTACAATCTTCTCAAAAAGATCAAACTTGAAAACTAAATTAAACTAACCAACATAAAAATAAAAAATATAAAAAAAAAACTAGAAGGAGGAAACTCAATCAATAATATTGTCATATTATACCGAGAAAAAGTTGTCCTCAGCTTCTTTACCGAATGCAAAGGTCAACAGTGAGTTCCTTCCTTTCAAATTCAAACCATTGATGTTATGCTGTCGTAAAGGAAGCCCCTTTATGCACGAGAAGCTGAAAACATTTCTGGGTTTTGAAGAACACTTGGTTTCGGTATGACCCAGTTCGCCGGGAAAGCTCACCGGAACTCCGGCACCGGCTCCGGCGAATGATAGGAGAGTGGATGATGATAGCATTTGTCGCGGCAAAAAAGATATTTTTTACGAAACAAAAGATAGGAAATGGAATGAGAAACAGATTACGATATGTTATACTCTCCACGTCTGTAATTTTTTTCTTTTTCTTTTTACATTCAAAAGAAGAATTCAACAATTTTATTTTTTTTTGGTTGAAGTATCAACTCTAAACCGAATTCTAGGAATCTATGAGTTTATTTATTTATTTTTGTCATGAGGTAGGCTACTACCAATTTTTTCTACTACCACTCCACTACCACTTTAATCACTATTGGATTCAAAAGTTATTTTTTTTTCTCTCTCTTCATTCAACTTTTCCTTTAATCCAATGGTGATTAAAATGGTAGTAGAGTGGTAAAAAATTGTTAGTTAGAATATCCTAGCTTTTTTTTCATTTCTAAAGTTTGAGTTTGAAAGTGGCTTAGAGGTGGTAATATTGCAAGAAAATGGATTTATAAAAAAATATAAAATAAAAAGTGAGTGTAGGAGAGGAAAATTTATATTTGGAACATAATTAACTATATCAGGGTAAGTATAAAAAAATTAATACTCAATCTTAGTTATTAATGCGCTTGTACTTAATAACTTACATTTTTAATAAATTAAATCTAATAAATTTAATTAGGATCAACAATTAAGATTGAAAGTGTTAATTATATGGATGTAAAAGGATCTTGCTCTTTATAATTGATTTAAAATATATATTTTATTTTTGGTTATATTACATAGTAAAACATTGATTTTTTTTCAGAGGTTCGACCATTGAACCCTTTAAAAAATAAAAATAAAAATTGGATAAGAAGTAAGAGAATTTACTTTTAATATTAGGGTGAAATTCAACTTTTGGATATATGATTACTAAAATATTAAAGAATAAACATATTTTTTTTAATATGTTTCAGATTTTATTATAAAAAATAAATTTAATGAGTAATTTTTGTTGGATTATTTCTCCTTAATTAGATACAAATTTCAATTCATGGAAGAATGAAAAGGTTTCATGAAAAAATGAAAGGACTTCGTGGGAGAACGAAGAGTTGTATTGAAATCCTTCACACTAAATGAGGAAGAACTATCCCTTCTAGCCATCTATAAATAGAGGAAGAGATGAGATCAACAAAGTGAGATGAAGAAATCCTCCATGAGAGAAAGAATCTGACTGAATACTTCTAGGGAGAAGTTTGAGTGAGACCTCTATAGGGAAGTTTGAGATTACCACCATTATAGGTGATGCTTGATTATTTGAGAGTACCTCTAAAGAAATGTTTGAGTGTTAGACCTCTTTAGGGATGTTTGATGTTATCACCATACTTGGTGAATCTTGATTGTACCTCTAGTGAAAGACTAAGAAAGTTTGACTATTGTAACTCATTATTCTTATTGTGGAAGTTTGATTCTGGACTAATGTCCTCTGAGTTTTTACATCTTCTTTCTACGTTTCTGCAATTGACTTGAAGGTCCGACTAGACCCAATAATTTTATGTAAAATATACTGCATATTCTATGATCAATGAATCAGAAATCATATTAATATAATTTTAATTTTCTCTCCACAAAATTTATTTGGTGTTCAAAGACATACCTTTTTTCTTAGATAAACTCTTCACTCTTGAACAAAATTTGTTGTGAGTATTTTTTTTTATTGACAACGGCTTTCTGTAATCTGTATAACTTGTTGCTTTAAAGTTTGAACTCAACACGTATAGTGTGGAACTAGAATTTCTTTAGGTGTTTGGTTGAGGAGAAATTTTTTGAATACTAGATAAATGTAATTGATAAGGAAATGGTTAGAAAGTGAGATAGGTAGGAAAATGTAAAAAAAAGTTGTTTGGTTGGAAAAAAATTTACCGGGGAAATTAGGTAAGTTTTATGAAATCTATGTTTGGTTGGAGGTAAGATATAGACGGAGAAAACAAGTTGGTATTACGAAAATTACCAAATTAACCCCTTTATAATTTTTGAATTTCAAGATATCTATCCTCCCTCGTCCATATCTCTGTCTCTCCTACCAAAGTCGGTGACCATCTCTAGTTTTCTATGTGTCTCTCCTTTCAAATTCGTTGGACATCACTCCTCCATTGTCAGCCTGTGGTCTTAACCCTCACTCAACCCCCACAACCGAGCTTGGACATTAGGGCGGTGTCGTCGATTGGAACGGTGTTGTGCATATTTTGGGATCTGGAAGCTGCCAGCATACAAAGGTAAGGGATGTTAATCCTCTTGTGTACAGCTGAAACATCTTGTTTAGCCATGAATTTTTCTATCGTCTGTATTGTTTTTTGGTTATCTTTTCGAATGTTGTGGTTGTGAAACCTTTTTTGGGAGGAAGATCTTCGTAAGCACCGAGAATGGTGGAAACCCAGAAGTATAAAAAAAAGAAAAAAAAAAAGATAATAACACATGAATGTTGTGTAGGATTATCATTTCTTTTATCTTACCGGTTTAGACTAATATTTTGCTCTTTTGTGGTATTGTTTAGGTTCCACATGTAGTTAATGCATTTGCTAACTACCTGATATAATTAGTTTGATATGCATTATGAATGTATATGATCTGAAGGCATTTGAAGTTTGTTCTCGCTAGTAAATGTTATACTAATTCTTACTTACTGATGTATATAATTAGTTTGATAAGCATTATGAATGTATTTATGAAGTTAATTTTTATTGTTTACTAATCAATGATAATCAGTAATGTGTGTTATCTAGCTTTTACTGATTATTGGTACCCTTTTCATTTGTTTACTCCCATTTTCTTATTGACTTTTACCCCTTTCTTTCCCCTTTTCAGTGAAGAGAGATCTCAAGGCTATACTGGTTGTGAATGAAAAAAGAAAGTGTTAACTTACTGGCTTAAAAACTTATTTTAAACCTGGTTAGATAGAATTGAAACTAATTTGTAAATATTCTATTAAATTTTATGGAAGTGTGGGAAAAATATATAAACTGTTTCCAAATCTTTAGTTTTCCTTCTAATTGAGCTGTGGCTGGTCAAAGGGCAGAATATATATTGCTACGGGTTTAGAAAAATGAGAGAGAGAGAGAGAGAGAGAGAGAGAGAGAGGCTGTAGGATGAAGCACAATAAGTGAATTACCCTAGTCTACATCTTAATTTATTCTAATTGCTTGAAGAATATTACAAGTACAGTTTGTCAATCAAGCAGCCCTCGGTTGAGCTCCAATCAATTCATCTAGAATGAGTCCTTGAATAAATTCTGATTAATCATTTTCCTTAATTTTATATAACCCTAACATGTAAATTGGAATTTGCTGAGAATTGAATCTATGACCTCTACATTAACCCCAATACATCCTTGAAGGACTGAGTTTGACTTTATTTCGCACATAGGACCTTAAAAAGTTTTATTTATTTATTTAAAGGACCAAGATGTTGCTATTCTGTTAAAAGTGAGGTTATTTGAATAATCACTTTTACAATGGAGCAACTGTAGTGTTTAATAGCATATATTCATGCGGATGTTACTTTGTAGTATGGACAGCTTTATTAGTTATTAACTTAATGTTTAGATTTTTATACTTGATGTTCTTAGATCTATATTTCAATTTAAAACTTTCAAGTTTGTCCTGTTATGTTTTAAAACCTTAGATATTTAAATTTGTGAATCCTGATCCATCTTGAATCTGTGCCTATAGTGTATACCTTTAATTAGATCACTTGGGGTTTTATATATTGTCTCAGTAAACTAACCTGAAAGTTAATATAGTGATAAAAGAAGGTTGGAACCTGGGTTAGCTAGCCTGTTTAGTACTAACTTAGCTAGCATGTGCCTATAGTGTATACCTTTAATTAGAATTGAAATATTGACCAAATACTTGTGAAAATGAGCCTTAATTTATCTTATTATGTAAGTATTGGATCCTCTAAACAGTTGCTGCATTCCAAGAATAACTTAATAGTGATATTCAGTTATTGCTCGTCTTTCAGAGTACAATATTGTATATAGTATTCTTCCCTCATCTTTTACATCTTGGTGGTGTGCTGGTAGTCCTGACTCAAATATGATATTGATAGGTTTTAAATAAAGATAGGGTCGCATGAAAAGATTCACTTTTATGCCATGTTCCTTGAATAAATGTGGGATGTACCCCTTTTTATTTTAAAATTATAATCGCTTCAAGTGAGAACTTGTGGGCTGTGGCAAGCAACAATTGAGAACCAAAAAAAAAAACATTGGTTTTGGGTCAACATCATCATGGTCGTTATTGCATGATTTTTTTAATCCCAAGAAGCAGGCTACTAAAATTTGAATGTTACTTTTTGCTGCATAAATGGAATTGCTTGGAGCTGACTCCCAAAATTTGAATGTTACTTTTTGCTGCAGAGTTGGAAATGCTTGAAGCAGTAGGGTGGGTGGCAAACCATAATTGGTCATGACGTGGGTCAACCTCAGAAGAACATGAGAAAGAATCTTTGTTGCCGAAGAAGCACTTCTTATAAATAATCTGGCATATCTACTCAGAAATGGTGCAAATAGATGAAGACACTGGAAGAACAGATAATTAGATAAAGAATTATTGGAATACCCACTCTACTGCCTTCTAAAAGAGTTGCAACCTTCAAGAAAGAGTGCTGAGCATGGAAGGATATTAGTTGCAACCTTCAAGAGTTGCTTGGGCCCTTTTGGGATAGGGAGAGAGTGGAACCTCTCAAATGTGTTCCACACTAGCTTATTTTTCCTGCATTGACATTAATTTCTTGTCACTGTAATTTTCTGTTTTCTGCTACATATGAAACCTTGTAATTGTTGTTATTTTAATATATTAGGGAATTGGATTCAGTTCCAAATTCTTGTCACTGCTGTTTTCTGTTTTCACACGTGTATGACAGCAAAATTTGCTGTATTTTTTTTTTTGTTTTTTAACTAATTATGATTGCAGTTATGGTTAGCTTTAAATTTGTTTCTTTATCTTCTTCACATAAACAGAAACACAGGTTGTTCAGAAAAGTTTTTTTTCGTCTATAACCAACCAAATACTTGTTCAGTACAGTCTTGCTCGTAACCGATTGAGCATGGTGTAATTGTCCTATAAATGCTAAATTCTGCTGCATATAAAAGCCATACTAATCCTTATGCTGTACCAAGAAATGGGAAGCCACTGCCATCAGTACATGTTCTGCACCCACTGAAAGTGATCAGCGTATAGTCGACATATGCAAGCCCTCTATAACCATCAAAACATGAAAGCATCTTAACAGAACACAGTTTCGACCTACATGCCATGATAGGGAAAAAGATCCATTACCCTACAAAATACAAAAAATAACCAAAGACTTTGAACTTCAAGCAGCCCAAGCAACAGTGTTCCCATAGCTAGTTGAAAGCAGAACCAGAGGGAATCTGACTAGGCCATATATCAGGCATGCACCCATGTCGTCCCTGTCACATCTTTCCACGATGGTTGAGCTCATATCATGCAGCACACTACCATGTAGTACACTCCAACAACTGAACCTGCATGTACAGATATAAATCATGACCATATATGATTGACTATGTCATACATAAAAACCTGGAATAATTGAATCAACCTATGTGAATGAATAATTGGACCTGCTTTTGATCTGGTTTGCTGTTTTAAATTCAGTATATAATGTGAATGAATAATAGTTATCACAAATTAGTCACTGAAGAACTATGCATTCTTTTGATTTCAATGCATTTGATCAGAGGGAATACCAATGGAGTACATTGGCCCATGATGGCTTTGTAGCCTTTCATAATTGAATACAACAGCTCCAAGCATCGAATATAAGATTAATTCGCTTATTATAGTAAACTAACATTTATTTTTTCTTATCCACCCGAACTAAATCATGTAATAGCCAATCAAAGCAAAAGATTGCATAAACAACCCAATTAATTCAGTGTCATAAAGGATGGGAGTCTGCACAATAAAATTCAAGGGATTTTGGCAATGCCTAATACATAAGTGTGACATATTCAGACTAATACAAGCAAAATCATGGAAACAGATACACTGTGATAAAGATGTGAGACAAGACACTGTTCCTTGATCAACCAAAGTCACTAATCGGACATACTTATACAAGGTTACATAATTGCTAAACACTAACATCTGAAATTATACGAATTGAACCAAACACAGCTGCCAAAATGCATCCCAATGCCTTCTTTTATCTGTATATGCTTCAAGTTTAAATTCTGTCTCCTTTTTTGGCCCAGGTGAGAATCAGTACTACCAGGCAGCAGATCCAAATATTCCAAACTGAAGTTGAATGACTCGGTAGGAACTCCCCTTCAAAGGACTTTGTAGCCTTTGTAACAGCACCAAAAAATTCCCAAAGTCTGCGCATTTAATCATTATAAAGACAAGCATTTATGTTAATATAAACTGTAACAGATGCAGGACAAAAACTCTTGCATGCATATGCATTACTTTGGGAAGTACAATGTGAAGGAAAAGAAAGGGCTCCTACCTTACATTTGAGAAAGCTTTTTTCAAGTTACCAGTCCCAAATCATTTGTGCCAATATGTGTAGGAACTCACTTTCCCTCACCATAATAGAGTGCAACTTGTATTAGTTACTGTCAAAATCAAAAAATGATTCTACACAAGAAAGAGTCAGTATTTTTGCAACAGGACTCTACTGCAGCTATGTGTGTACAAGGATACTTAGCATGATATTTACAACATGTAATAGGAAAAGAAACCACACCAAAAGTTAACACTTAAACAGTGTCTATGCATATATTCCTACTGGATCCAAAAAGTAAGGCTGTCTTTTCTTAGATGTAATCAGACAACAACCCAGACAACATGCACCGCCTTTTTCCATCGTCACATTGCATGAAGATGTCCGTCAAATTGCTATCCTTGCCCAGTTTGACAGCAACATGTAGCATCTGCTCCATAGTAAGATCTTCAAATTTTTCAATCTCAGTTATAATAGACATTCGCCTGTTGCTTCCAGCATGTTGTTGTTCAAAGCAAGCCACCAACTTATCCATGGTATTGGTAGTTTTCTCGTAATTTTGGGAAATACGATTCATGACACCAACAACTTCAACAACTACAGGATCTGGGGTCCTTTGCCTTTTCTTTCCCTTTCGGGCATTAGCTACAGAAATAGATGGTGCTTCGACTTGCTCTTCAGTTACATTTTCAGGCACTTCAGTTTCCTGGCATGGTGCGGGTATGTAGTCCCCTGACTGATCTAGGTATTCATCAAATACATTTCCGCTCTCATCAACAAAAGCATGTTGTGATTCCAAATGGGTAACTGACTCTTGTGGGCATTCTGAATTACCTCCACTAGCCACATCATTGCCAAATATAATTCCCAAAGCTTCATAGTGAGGGAATGGCTTGTTGTATAGACCCTTTGCAGTATGGTGGCTCTGCACAATCAATACATGTTCTGCATTATACATAGTGTAATCTATGATTGAAGTTGTAAATAATGCAAAGCTTTAAAAAAAAAAATGTTACCTTCACCCAATCATCGAATATTTCCTTCTCCACATCAATCATTTTTTTGGCATCATTCCAACCAAAACCGGATCCACCGTTTCCTCCAACCATGTCATGAATAGCATTATATTGTTTTTTAAGCAACTTCACCCTGGAAGTGATGTGAGGAATTGACCGGAGGGAACAACCAGGGATCCTCAGGTGCATCATCTTCTCCACTGCAGCTGAATATCCTGCTTTAAAGCTATTATCTCCCTTCCAACATGATCCAAGCTCGGACAAACATTCAACGAGGACTTTGTCCTCTTCAGCGGTCCAGGTATGATTAATTCGCTTTTGTGATTGCTGACTACCTTCTGCCATAATGTGAATGAAACAAAGACAATATCTGGTATTGGTCTACAAAATACGATAAAGTTATATTATTAAATATAACAACATAACTAATACCTTACGCGTACAATTAAGATACAGATATAAATGGTCGTAAACGCTAATTCTGCAGAATCTATGATTAAGTCATACATGATACGTAATAGACACATAACTAAATTTAATTATACAAGGAAAAGCATCGCAATGGGTCCAGTTTCCTAAGCGAAATAAAGACTACATAATATCCGAGAAACATAAATTAGCAAATACTAGTTAAAAAAACTCCAACTCAAGCACGACTCCTCCAAGTGTTAAACATATTATGCGCCAGTTCATCCCTCCAGAGTGTCCATGCATTGGAAGACTCAACATGAGTTATAACTTCATTGTCGCCAATGTCATCTTCAGCTAGCTGCATGTCCACGTCATCAGCCTCCAAAGGATCCATTGTCATTTCTCTTCTTATGTGGTTATGAAGCAAGCAACAAGCTGTTATAATCCTGCATTGCGTCTTAACCGGATAAAATGACTTTGATCTGACAATTGCCCAACGCCCTTTCAGCATCCCAAAACATCGCTCTATGACATTCCTTGCAGATGAGTGCTTCATATTAAAAAATTCTTGTGGTGTCCTTGGTTGAGGCCCGTGCCTCCATTCAGTGAGATGATATCGTTGTCCTCTATATGGTGTCAGGAAACCTTCACCGTTCATGTATCTAGCATCACACAGGTAATAGTAACCTACACAAATAGAAATCATGGAAACAACAAAGTAGTTAGTTATTATACAACATGATGGACAGATAAATAACAAATACAAATGGTAAATTCAGTAACCTTTTGGAACCCTTAAACCGTGCGGCCGCGCGATTGCATCTCTTAGAACCCTTGAATCTGCAGCTGACCCCTCCCACCCAGGCAATACAAAAATGAACTGACCGTCCTGAGAACAAACCCCTAACACATTTGTTGCTATTTCACCCTTCCTAGTACGGTATCTTGGCTTGTCAGCTTGCAATGGATTTATCTTTATGTGTGTCCCGTCAAGAGCACCCAAACAATTCTAGTATATGAAATCACAAAATTAAAAACCACATCAAACATGCATGTAGGGTGAATATACGAAACATATTTCAACTAAACCGTAAACTAATAGAATTACCTTGAACCACTTCCATCTTTCATCAGTCGATGTTTCCGCAACTGGCTCAGGCCGTTTCAACAAAACAGTATGACATCGTAACACAGCGAGTAACACATTTGAGAACTGCCTACTGATGGTTTCACCGGACCTCATGAATTGTCTTTTTATAATCCTATTCTTAACATCATGGGCCAATATGTGCAGGAATATTGCCACCATTTCTTCCACACCCATATGAGGTGTTGGTTCAAGCTGCCCAACTGTTTTGACCAACTCACACAATTTATGAAAAGACCTTCTGTCCATCCTTGTATTCTCAATGCAAGCAGTGTCACTTATAGGAACTATTCTAAGGAAGTTAACTTCCCTAACCCTAGCCCTGCCGCAATGATCCAAGGTTACTCTCCTCCTATTAGGTCTTGTGGTTTGAATATGCCGTATTAACAAAGCACACAGACTGACTAACATCATCGTCAATTGATTCAAACACTGGAAATTCATAATGAGTGCAAGAACGAAACTAAACTCCATTTCATCCCCCAGGGCCATGATCTAACACGAAAGGGACAAATTAAATCAGTTGACAAAAAATAAATTCATCCCCAAGACAAGGGCAGATCAGCGAAACTACAAATTAGTAAATTAAATTTCAAGGTATATCATTATAATTACATCATGAAGTTAGTTGACACTACCAGGCATCAAGTAACTTATCCATCAAATGACCTACTGCCAAATATAAGACTCAAGTCAACATTATATGGTTTAGTTTGATGGGTCAGGAGATGGGCATGAAGAGGTATTGGCTGCTGTACAGGGCATCATGAACTCAGCTTTGAATATACTAAATACTATCTATCTTTGATTCCAAAAATATGTTGGACTAGTTTTGTATATTCTTATTATTACAGCTCATGCCTATTCCAATAATCATTCTGGCGGCATATGGAGCCCTATTAATAATGCTTAAACACACACGATAAAGGCAGAATTTTTTTAATTACCAAGCTGCAGAAACTTACATCAAATTATAAGTTGTAGATTATGTTTTGATTTTCTATCTTTTTTAAAAGAAACCATCAAAGTCAAACTAAAAGATGCTAATCCCCAGAATATAAGTTGTACAGTTGCAGCCTATGGGACACCTAATTCCAAACAGCCCCTAATTCCTAATTCCAAACTGATTTGCCCACCAATCAAACATCACAAAATCAGTGTGCCAACCAAAACCACTCTTCGAACATGTGAATCCCACATCCTATTAAAAAATTAGTCCTCCACGACCATCCCACCATGGTGCTTACCTCTGCAACTTCCACAACTTTCTGAGCCACCCATCTCTCTCTTTCTCCCTCTCTCATCCACCCGAACATTACAGGGAAGGTGCTCAATAAAAAAAAAAATTATTGCCCCGAAGATACCCACAGTGTTCTTATTGTATCTTCTTTTATATAATTTTTTATTTAGTACACATTGGACTTATTCTTCCTATTTAATCCCTCGAGACACTTCCTCTGTAGCTTTCTTCGTAGATAGGTATAACAAAATATCCATTCTGTACATAGGTAGTCACCAAAATAGAACATGTGGGTATGGTTCCGTTCAATATTTTTTTTATTTAAGAGAAGAAGAAACCAAAGAGTGGTACTGATGATGGTTTGGATAATCTTTGTGAAATCATTTATCTTTGGGAAGAGGGGAAAAAAATTACAGGATGTATAGCATTATTTAACATACATACAATGTTTTTTTTCTTTCAACGAGACATTACATCTTCATTGGGGTCCCTGTGAAAACCATGACAGGTAAGCTGAACAAATCATTCCTTGCAGCTACACAAGGGCACATGATAAATTATACAAATGAAGATGCTTACCAAACACAGACTAACCGGCGAGGCTGTGGATGATGTAGTCTACGACAAACAACAAACACAGAGTATAGTCTATGTCGGACACAGATGCTTGAAGACGCCACCCTCTACTCCAACCACAAACACGATGTACCTACATGCAAGGGAAAAACACAGTCTTTGTGTAGAAAGCACCAGCAAAACACAGATGAAAAATAAATATGTCCCACCGAGTTACCTCCCACGGTTTGTTCACCTTCGTGCTCACTGACCAGGAACAAGGTCAAGAATATTTCGCTCATCCAAACGCTTGCATGTTTCCCAATCTGTGCAAGTCTTGCTCTTTTGGAGGTGACAAGTCTAACAACTCTGCAACCTCGATTTGGTGGAGATTTTCTCTTTGCGCGCTTAAAGTGAGGGTACGCTGGTAAATTGTTAGGACGCACAGTGACCAATTTGGGCAGCTTTTCTACAATACCACATCGCCGAGGGACAACCTTCGCCGGCTAAATAGAAGCTGATGCCTATGCTTTTTGCTTACGTAGGCAACTCATTTAGGTGGAAAAGTGTCACACAAACTCCAACCAAACGTGGTCACCGTAGATGTCTTGCTTTCATTTGTCTATCTTTCTCCACAGAATCCGTTAACCAAACGCCCCCTAAGTAGTTAATGATGGTTGTTATTAAATTGGGTCAGTAAATTATATTTTAATTTTAATCGTTGATTCTATTGATATATAATAAATTTTTTTGGGAGAGGTTATACTTACTATCTATTTTTCTTACTACTTGTTACTACCAAATCTTAATAGTTAATTTTCGTCAATCTAACGGTTGTAATTTATGAGGTCATATTTATTAATTAATTATTAATTTACAATAAATTATAACCGTTAGATTGACAAAAATCAACAGTTAAGATTTGGTAGTAAGAGGTAGTAAGAAAAATAGGTAGTAAGTATAACCTTTTCCATTATTTTTTAAGTTATACGATACATATACTAATTTTTTTTAAGTTATTAAACATTTAAATACGAGTGAATCAATATGTATAACATTTATTATTATATTAATATAAAAAAAACCTGTGCCTACTAAATTTTATGCTTCTTCATATGTGATGTTGGTTAATTTTCCATGATAGAACCCTAGCATTTAAACCACATTGATATGTTAATTTGCTTCCTTATGTTAAACGGTAATAAAGTTGTTTCAAGTAATTCTTTGGGGTTCAGATAAAAGGATAGATTATTCTAATTCATCTGAATCTTTTGCTGAAGAATTTAATCAGAAAAAGGTTGCAGCAACACAATTTTAGATACAAGTACGTACGTGTGATTTGATTAATCAAGAAATAATAAAGTATCCATAAAGGTTCAAATTCGTTTCGTTAAAACAGGGCTTGAATCACTGCAGAAAGGTATAAATTAAAGGGAAAAATGTGTGTTATTTCAAAGAATATAAAGTTGTGTCATTTTAAGTGAGAGAAATAGATAGATTATGGAAAGAGAGTGGACAAAAAAAAATAAAAATGTAAATCTTACATCTTTATAAAAATGAAATGACACAAGTTATGTTATTTAAAAGACTCCTGAGTTAGTGGGGTTGGATATGTGTTCGATTCCCGCTGAATGCATTCTTGGGGAGGGGACTGAACTTTTAGCCATCATTGTTCCCCCGCACTCCGGATTAGTCCCATAGCCGGCTCAAAGAGTCGAAGCTCGTGGGGATACCAGAAGGAGCCAACTCGTCTCAAAGAGATAATTAGGGTTGGGTAACTCAAAAAAAAAAAAAAACATAAAAACTCTTTCCATATGGATATTATTAGTCATCGAAGCATTTGTGACCGAAATACTTATTAACCCATTTGAATGTTCTCAACGTCAAAATCTTAAATAAATAAAAATAATATGATAATGACTAACACGTCATGAAAATCTCAAAGTACAAGAAAAAAGAACAGCTTCCACTAAATGGATAAATAGACACTGTTCTAAAGGATAAAGACCCTTATTCTTTTACAACTACAAAGAATACAATAGGAATGAGGAGAAAATAAAAAATGAAATAAAAATAAAAATATGCTGAGTAATGGAAATCTATATTATGATTCAATCAGAAGCAACAATCCAAGACCCAGCAACAACATAGAGCAGCACAACTGCAACAAAAGAGAGAGAGAAAAAAAAGTCAAAACAAAGATTCAGTGTTTATGAAAAAGCTAACAGGAAATAAGTTAGGAATGATTTTGTAAACAAACTTACCATCCCTTCCAGAAGCCATCACCCCTACTTGTGGTTTGCTCTGTAACACTTTGTTGGGGGTACCCTACAGGACCATCCTTGGAAGGGTAACCCATAGGTGGTGGGGCACTAACATATGAAGTTGGTGGAGGATAGACTTGACCTGTTGGGGGATATGATACTGTTGCATCATAATATCATATCATTAATATTAGTTAGAAAAATTTCACAATTCTCATGGAAATAAGAGTACTTTCAACTTAAGCTTTATGTAAAAACCAACTTGGACATTTATTCAAGGTAGAAAAAAAATTATTGAGCAATGACCATGCAAAAATGACCACATTAATTTCATTTGTGTAATTTATTTGGATAAAAAAATAGAAAAAATATTTATCCTTTTAAAGGTATAATTTTGTATAATTTTAAATGAAATAACATCGTTTTTGTGCATAATTGTTTTTTTTTATATTTTTTCTCTTCTATAAAATTAGAAAGAGAGAGAAAGTAGAGGAGATAGAATGTAAAAAGTTACTATTTATGTATCAGTTTTATCTAAACTGATACAAAATTATATTCTTTAAAAAGATAAATGTTTCTCCCCAAAAAAAATACATAGGTAACCCTTTTTTTTTAACAAAAGTTTAGATTAGAAATATATGCTCCATCTAAGGTTATGAAAGATCACCACCTTTATAGAAGGTTTAAAATAGATTATGGGAAAAGTGTTTGTCATTTTAAATGACATAAAGTTATGTCATTTTAAAAGAGAAATAGGCACAAGAAAATATATTTTTTATTTAAAATTTAAATTAAAAAAAATCACTCACTTTCTCTCCCATGATTTTCATTATTTGTGTCTATCTTTCTTAAAATGACATAACTTATGTCATTTAAAATGGTAAATACCAAACTCATAGATTATATCCCATTTACTAATAACGAAAAAGAACTGAGAATTAAACTGAAATCACGACTAATTAACATGGACGAAAAATTCGACTCATCATGATCAGAAATAGATGATAGATAGGAAAAACTCACCAGGGGCTTCTTGATGATTGTTAAAGTGACTCATGGTGAATTGGTGATGATGAAGTTGTTCTTTTCTTATAAAATCAAGTTAAGAAGGGATGATGAAGGATATGTGATTGGGAACTACGGAAGCAAATATGTGTATATATAGGTTCATATGGTTCCTTAATACAATTGAAGATTCCAATGACGTGTGGGACAAACGCGTAGCAAGTGAGAAAGAAAAGACGCTGTTTGCATTTGAATTTTTTTGTTGTTGGTAAATTGCATTTGAATTTTGTGTGCAGCAAGGTTAGGTGGTTGTGCTTGTTGCATGCCACGTAACACATAAACACAATTCACATGTTCCTTAACCTTCCACATTTGGAATTTCACGCGTTATGTTTTCTAAACATTTGGTCTTTGTAGATTGAGTCATCAAATAATATAATAATCTTTTGGGGGGAGGGATATTGAGGAAAGCAAAGAAGACTCTTCTTGGAAGGTTCGAATTGAAAATAATTAATCTTGACTTTATTGTTCCAAAATTAATGTAAAAGTTAGAAAAGAAAATAATGATTAATTTTGAAATTTAAAATTTGAAAAGGTTGGAGTAGCGGTGGCAAAATAAGTCAGTCCGTCTGGTCGCTCTGCATTTTGATATATGTTGAAAATCCCAATCCACTCGTTTTGTAGCGGGTTGGCGGGTTAACCCGTCTAAAATAAAAAATAAAAAAAAAAAAAAAAAAAAAAAAAAAAAAAAAAAAAATAAAAATAAAAATAAAAATTATATTATATTTTATTAATTTTATAATATTTCTTATTTTCATTTCACAATTCTTTTAGTTTTTTTTCAATCTTAAACCTAAATATATACTAATATTCAGTCAAATATTTTTTAAAAACTTATTTTTGCATCAATATATGAATAACCTTTGTAATAAATAAAGTTTTTCTTCGTTATTTTTTTATAAGGGAGTACTAAGCAAAAAAAATTTCATACAATAAAAGATTAGTGACAAATAAAATACTATCTATTAATAAAAAAAATTGACTCGCAGGCCAACCTGTTCCGTTTTAACGGATTGACGGGTTAATCCATCGAGTTCAACTCAAATTGCCGCCGATTCGAGCCCTAAATTCTCAATTCTCATACGTCAAATGACTTTAATTAAAAGTCATTGTATCAACAAGCTCTCTACATCTCAGTAAATTTTTTTTTTAAAAAAAAATTACTAATTTTTTCCAAAGTGACGCAAAATCAACAATAAAAAATAACATGATATTAACAATAATCAAAGAAATTCAAATATTGTTAAATCATAAATGTATTTTCTTTTTTATTCATTCATCTATGTTTTATTTCTTTTATTTCTTTTATTTATTTATTATATATATATATATATATATATATATATTACATTTTCTACATTTGAAAAAAAGAAAAGAAAAGAACTTTAACATATCTTATTTCTTTTTATCAGAAATTTCTTCTTTTTATTTTATTTTCCTACATCATTTTTCTTACTTAATTTTATCCAATAGCTCATTTTTACTTTTTTTTTAATACTTGCGTCATCTTGAAATATTTATTGATAACCATTACTTTGTACTGCCATTATTTTAATTTATTTTTCATTTTAATGGTTTTGTCTAGTGTTCCGTAGTGGAAAAAGAGCTTTGACCAAAGACTTAAAGCCTATTTGGATCCTCTTATTTTTAAGCTAGAAGCTACTTATAAGCTAAAGTTAAAAAAGAGAGCTTAAAAAAAGAAGTTAAAAGCTGTTTGAAAATTACATAAAAATTTTAGCTTAAAAATTAATTAAAAGCACATATTTCAAGAAAATTATCTCTCTCTATTTTTATCACTCTTTATTTTAAAAAAAAGCACACAATTCAATAAAAACAGATAAGAGCTTAAAAAAAGCTCCTCCTAGGAGCTTTTAGTTTAGAGCTTTTTTCTTCATTATAAAAAGAAAGAGCTTTTCGTTATAAGAGTTTTTCCCAAAACCTGTTTGGCATAGCTTATGCTTATAAGTAGCTTATAGCTTACAAAAGAGAGGATCCAAACAGGCACTAACCTTTTATCTTTTATTTTATTGTTTCATTACTTTTTTTTCTATTTTTTATTGGTAGAATATTGTAACAATCAACTAGTGTTACTATCCATCAATTTCACCGTTAGATCGATTATGTTGATCTAACGGTTATATTTATTTTCAACTTTGTAGGTTATCATTCCCCATATTTAATGTGAAATCATTAAATATGAGAAATTATAACCATACAAAAATGAAAATAAATATAAAGTATTAAATATGAAAAATTATAACCATACAAAGATGAAAATAAATATAACCGTTGGATCAACAAAATCGATTTAACGGTGAAATTGATTGGTAGTAACATTTGTAGTAACACTAGTTAGTTGTTATAATATCCTTCCCTTTTTTATTATTCGTTTTATTTTTCATTTTTTATAATTTCATTTTTGTCTTTTCTAATTACTATTATTATATGAAAAAAAAGAAAATGAACAAAATAAGGACAACATATGATATGAGGACAAAATAGTTGTTCGTCTTTACCTCATAAATTTTTATAAAAATTAATATCATACGATATATTTAGAAGAATTATATAAATTCTTTATTAAAAGATATTTTTATCAAAAATATTTAGTTTTATTATATCTAGTATTATACAGTTTATTATCAAACACTGGATGATATTATCTTATACAATATATTATCTTCTATAATACCATGAGAAATACTCTATAGTATTAAAGTGGTTGGAGGAGGTTGTGTGGGGATACCTCCAAGATATCTGTTACCAAAGAAAGAAGAAAGAAAGATAGGAGAGAGAAGAACGAATGTACTATGATAATTCTTGTGATGAATTAATTGAATGATACAACTTGGAAAATAGCTATATATGGTACACTGGTATAATTATCATAACAAAAGCGGGAAAGTAACTAATTCTCTACTCCAAACGGTTGGGCTAATGGGCCAACTATAATTAAGCTGGACTAACTGATATGGTAATATCCCCTAAGTTGGAAGGTGGGTGTCAAGCAACCCTAAGTTGCTGATGAGAGTGTGAAACTGAGAAGTTTGTAAAGTTTTAGTAAACGTGTCTGCTAATTGATGTTTGGTTGAGATGGGAGGAAGATGAAGTAGGCTAGCATAATCTTTTCTCTATAAAGATGACAGTCTAGCTCGATGTGTTTACTTCTCTCATAAAATGTGGGATTATGAGCCAGGTATATGGCTACCTGGTTATCACAAAAAACTGATGCAAGATGAGAGGCGGTAATGCGAAGATCATGGAGTATGAATTGAAGCCAATGAAATTCACAAGTTAGGCGTGCAAGGGCTCGATATTCTGCCTTTAAAGAAGATCTAGAGCCGCACCTCAACCTCGAGGACAACGTTGTTTCAAAGGGCGATGGAATGTAGCATCTACCCTTTAAAATTCAAATTATGATTAATGTATATGGGTTTTATAATTCTCATGTTGAAGAAGAATTGAAATCTCATGTTGTAGAGATAAAAAGCATGTGGGATCCATGTGTAAGAAAAAATTATATGTAGGACCCATGTCAGTAGGGGTGTTCGCGGTCTGGATTGGATCGGTTTTGGAAGCAAAACTCATCCGATCCAATCCCTTCGGTTTGATCATGTAATCATCCATTCGGTTTAGATTTTTTTTCAAATCTGATCTGATCCAATCCAATTTTTTTCGGTTTGGATTGGATCGGTTTTCAAATATCCTAAAATTAGTTTCATGATTATTGTGCAAATAACATCTTTTGTATATATTGGATTTGTAAAAAAAAAATATCAGTAAACAATATTATAGTTGATGAGACGCGACTAAGTTTATTCTTGGGTTTAGTTAATGAGTTAATGAGTCTTGAGTTTAGAAATTTTTGGGCTATGATAAAGGAAAGGACCAAGTAGGTAAAGGAGAATTAATATATTGTATCGGTTTGGATTGGATCGGTTTTGATCAACTCATCCAAAAACCGATCCAATTCAATTAAAATTTGCGGTTTTTTTTCGGTTTTCGGTTTTTTGGTTTTCGATTTATTCGATTATCAGTTTTGCAGTTTGAATCGGTTTGGATCGGTTGATGAACACCCCTACATGTCAGCACGGAAATCGAAGAGTGTGTAAGAAAATTATAATTCTCATGTTAAATGAGAATTGTAAAACCCAATGTATATTTATCTTGATTAGTTTTAAGTTTCTTTTATCTTATCTCATTAGCAGAGTTAGTTATTTTATTTCAAATTATGTTGTTGGTATTTTATTTCATCTATTAGCAAATGTAAGTGGCTATAAATAGATAGTATACTGATCACAAGAGCAATCACTGATTGAATTAAAAAATCATAGTCTTCCTTCAAAATTATCTCTTCTTTCTTAGTCTTTTTCTTATTCTTCTCCTTCTTTCTTTATCGCTCCATTATTCTTGATCTAACTTCTTTCTTACTCTCTTCAATCATTCTCCTTTTTTCCTAATGTTCTCTCTTTCTAATTTTTTATTATTAGACTAGTTGAATAATCGATGAATCGATAGATAATAAAAAAAATACATATCAACAGATTTAAATGTTTTCATAGTAAAAATCTTAAATGATATGATAATGACTATTGACTAACGCGCGTCATGAGAATCTCAAAGTATAAGAAAAAAGAACAGCTTCCACTAAATGGATAAATAGATACTGTTCTAAAGGATAAAGACCCTTATTCTTTTACAACTACAAAGAATACAATAGGAATGAGGAGAAAAAAATAAAAATAAAAATCTGCTGAGTAATGCAAATCTATATATGATTCAATCAGAAGCAACAATCCAGGACCCAGCAACAACATAGAGCAGCACAACTGCAACAAAAGAGAAAAAAAAACAAAGTCAAAACAAAGATTCAGTGTTTATGAAAAAGCTAGCAGAAAATAAGTTAGGAATAATTTTGTAAACAAACTTACCATCCCTTCCAGAAGCCATCACCCTTACTTGTGGTTTGCTCTGTAACACTTTGTTGGGTGTACCCTACAGGACCATCCTTAGAAGGGTAACCCATAGGTGGTGGGGCACTAACATATGAAG